ATGCCGATGCCCCTTATTCTACAAATTACAAAAAACTAAAATGAAAGCATTATTTACGGACAAGCATTAAGGTTTAACAGGCTAGCCACCAATAACATACACTTAGAAAAGGAACTAACAAATCTTTCGAAAATATTCATCACCAAAAATACCCACTTAATCTAGTCAATTTTTACATGCAGATGAGCCTCAAAAAAACTTAAATGGATATACTTACACCAACACCCAAGAAAAACAAAAAAGGAACCATAATAAAGGTTTTCTGCCAATTGTAATGAACACCATTAACTAAAACGACTTATTACTAGGTCAATAAATACGTGTGTGTGTATGTGTGTGAGCGTTCATAAATAAGTATAAGTTCATATACAGGTATGTAGGCATTCATGCACATTTACATAGATATACAGATACATAGATATACATACTGGTTTAAGTATGATTCTATATATATGTGTATGACTGTCTATAGTATAAAGCAAAGTAGAAAAACGTGATTAATGACTTGTGCCAGGCGTTATTTGAAGAAATAAAAGTCTCCACAAAAAACTTAAGATAGAAAGTTGGCGAAAGCGGAGGTTGGACCATTTCACATATAAATAATTGAAAATATATTCGTATAATGTATTATATAATAACCGGAAGTTAGAACATTTTCACATAAAAATAATTGAAAATATTCGTATAATATATTGAATTTTAGAGTAGAAAATACACACAAATAAAAAGCAACGTTTTATAAATATGAATTTCCTATATTCTATAACGTCTTATTTCTTATTTTAGTAAATTGAATGTACTCTGCAAAAATTAAAACCGGGCGCGTCATAACATAATGAAAAAAAAAATTATTTAATAAAAATTGCTGAAAAAACAAAACTGCAGAAAAAGCGTCTTCTAGATAATCTGCATAGCACTCTCTCAACTTAGAATAAAATCACTAATATTAACACTCTAAATATTGTTAGAATAATTTTTTTATTTCTCTTTTAGCTATAACGGACCCAATTTGCATGCTGGATTCTCAGATTATTTCTAAATATATCAAAAAAAGTTGATACTATATGTGACGTTTTTTATATAATTGAGTTTTAGTTTGAAAGAAGTATTTAAAATTGGATATGATAAAATCCATTACTAATAACACTTGTTTCAATTCATTAAAAGAATTGAAACAAGTGTTATTAAACTATTTTATACTATCCTTTTCGTATTAGCAATCTAAAAAATTTTTATCACAGTTAAGTAACGCAATAATGAATTGAATATTTTCTAATTTATTTCCTTAATGGAATAAAATAAGTTTAGTTTTATCCATACTTACTTAATAACTTTACCGAATTGTTTTTAGGTGTTTCAAAAAGTGCTTTAATATCTCTTTGGAATAAAAAAAAAGATTGTTGTTTTTCGGAAAAAAGAATGCAGTTTAATAAGTCTGTTGCTAAATCAAAATGATTTGTATTCATTATGAACAATAATGGTCCTAAAATAGAGCCCTGGGGAACCACACATGGTATGGCTTATCGATTTGCTTAGTTTTGTTAATATTATATAAAACCACTACATGTTCAGTCAAACATCCTTATTTAAATTCAATGTATTGTTTTCTGATAAATTGTTAAATAGCATGTTTAAAAAGAATGAAAAAAGATGTAAAAAAAATACAGTTCGATCATTTCAACATTACGAAAAAGTAATTTATGTTGGCCGTGCATGTAACATGTTTACGCACAATTAATCAATCGCTAACGTAGGCGGTAGGCTTTATCCACTCGAAAAGACTGTAGTCAAACGAGACCTTAGTGTGATGGTCTCCAAAGACCTTAACGTCAGACAACAAGTAGAGTCAGCCGCACCGTTTGTAAGTTTACATTGTGCAAATTCATTTAATAATATATACTGTTCATTATATAATAAACTATTTGTGGAAAATTGTCATTTCGAACGCTTAAACTTTTTACACAAAAATAACAAGAGCGCCATACAATGAATGTTTTTCGAGGGCCAGACAAACTATAATTTTATGATGAAAATGCTTTGCAGCTACGATACTAAGGTGTCTAGAATGAGGAGTAGTCAGGTAAAGATTCCAGCGAACCTGTGAAGGCCAAGGAATTTTTGATGTATTTATGTATGATGCATGTCAGCACTTACATTCTTATTTTAAAAAGATGTTATGTTAATAAAATTAAATTTTATTAGTTTATAATAATATCTCAATTTTAATAAATTAAAAGTTACTAAAATTTAGAATATTTGGTATATTAAATTTACTATAACAACTTTTTATTAGCATTTATTTATTGTTCATTTAGTATTTATTATTAGGATTTTTTAAAACATTATTTGACATAAAAGAACACTAATGATCACGGTGTTCAGTTGTTAGAACAAGAAAGTGAAATATGGTTAACATTAAGAGTTTTATAGTTATCCATTAGTATTGCATAATATCACATGAATTGCTTTAATAAATATTCACATTTCATTTTGCAATGTTTTCATTTTAAGAGCGAGCGAATTAAAAGTATATTATTTCGTTTAGGCAGTTCTGCGCAATAATCTTTTCTAATTTTTAGGTATTTAAAATGGTTAGCGTTCTCAAGAATGATTCAAAATAAGAATATAAAACGCAGATATGGAAAATGATTGTCACTTTTGTATTAATAAAATTACCAATTAGGTCTATATTTAACTTTAAAAGTTCGATATATTTTTAATATCAATTAGTATCAAGAGATTACGATTTTTGAGTCTGCGTTTTAATAAAAGTTCGAAATCTGAGTCATCTAATACACAAAAAACGCGAAACTTTTAAAAGCTTAACTTTTGAAAACAGTTCAGATTTGTATACGAAATTATTGCATTACCTCCTTCTACATGGTTTACGACTCCTGTATACCTGCTTACTACTCGTTATTTTAGGACTTGTCAAAAGTAGGCATGGGATGTCTTGATAAATTTTAATTTAGATACAACATTTTTTTAATTTTATTTTAAGAAGATATGAAACAAAGATGGTTCAATTATATTATACATTGTTTTATTTATTATTCTAATATTACATGGGTTAGTGCTCAACCAACAAAACTTAAAAAAATATATTTTCTCTGCAAAAAAATGCATGCAGACTAATATATAAAAAAAATATATATGAGCATGCAAAACCACTAATGAAAGACATGCAAATGATGAGTATATATGAAAATAATATTTACCAACACTTAATTTTTATCTATAAACATAATCGCAGTTTGATTTCCAAAACCTTTAATAATAAATTTACGAAAAATGTTAACAATAATTACTTTCTTAGAATAAACCAATGGAATACTTATAAATTGTCTAGAATTAGGAGCAAGTATTCTGAATATGGAATAGCATATTGTGGACCGAAACTATGGAATACATTTCAAAAAACCAAACATTTAAATACGGTAAAATCATTAAACTCCTTTAAGTTTTTTATAAAAAGTAAAATTTTTAAACATTATAAATAATTTTGCAATTTTTCTAAATAAACATTGAATTCCATTAATCTTAGTTTGAAAAAAAAAATTGTCTTTTTTTTTTAAAATTTTAAGACAATATCAGTATTTTTTAAACGACTATTGTTAAAATTATGCTAATACAATTGTTAATGAGCACTTCAAACTTTTTATATTGTTATTGTTTAATTGATTTCATTATGACGTGCCTTGGCTAAAATTTGAGAATTTCGTCACTTGCGATTTTACTACGCTCAAGTGATAGTCATTGTTGTTATTTGACTGAAGATTGCATTTTTGTGAAAATACTGATGTAAAAATATAAGTAAACAATTTTGGCAGCAAGTTATTCTTATATTTATACATAAACATTAATATTTAAAGCGAATTAAGTTTTGATATATTTAAAACATTCATGTATTTCATTACAGGGGAAGGGTTTTCTAATCTCTTTAAATTGTTAACTGCTTTACATGCGTGGTTTTTTAGGCTCTGTAATCCTAATAACTTAGTTTTGTGTGTATTAGCCCAAACAATATTAGCGTAGGAAAGATGACAAAGAACAAAACTGAAGTAAAGCATTTTGCGTGATTTATAATCAAAAAAGACCCTAGATTTATTTAATACACTTATAGCAGAAGATATTTCTGCTTCAATGAGACTAATATATTTTTTCCGTGATAGGTTCTCATCAAATATTACTTCCAAAAACTTTGAATGATTTACTTGAATTATTTCATTTTTATTGATTGACAGTTTTCTCAACATAAGTTGATTGTCTATTTTATGGAAGAGACCCAGTGGGCACACGTCGTTATTTCAACGTTGATCTACGGTTGATTTTCAGTCGCGACGTCGTATAACCAAAAATCAACATTGAATCAACGTTGAAAATTTATTTAAAACTGTCAAAATAAAATCGACGTTGATTCCACGTTAATTCAACGTCTATATTAGAAGTTCGACCGTTCGTATTGCATTTTGAGAACTCAAATACGCATGCGTGATTTTATATGTTGTTTTTTATCATAGTCATAATATCAGATAGTCCGGCCAGTTGGGCCGTTTTCGCAAGATTCTATTGTTTTTAAACAATAAAATTTAAAACTTTGAATTTATGTTGAAAATCGTTTATTTATCGTGTTCAGACTACCAATAAGTTCACGAAAATCTAAAAAATGGCGAACTCAACAGATAAACATTAATGGTTAAATACAGGAATGGCTCCCTATTTTGATTGGACGAAAAAAGATTGTTTTTCTTAGTCCGGAAAACAATTTTTTCTCGTTGCCGTATTTAAAAAAAGTTTATGCCTTTGTATGGATAAACATATATATATATATATATATATATTTATATATATATATATATATATATATATATATATATATATATATATATATATATATATATATATATATATATATATATATATATATATATATATATATATATATATATATATATATATATATATATATATATATATATATATACAATATATATGGAACTAGAGCACGCCACTAGTTTCTAGTTTCTAATACGCAATAACGATGGTGAGTTTTAGTACAGTTTTATTACATTAAATATAATGCATTTTTTCTTCTTCTAAATGACAGAACTTTTATTTAGGCATCTGCTAGCTTGTCTTCAAACAAGTTAAAGCTTAATCACCTTACGATCAACAATTATAATCGACAAAATGCTTACGAGTCACAGAAACAGTTTATTAAATCTGTTCAAGATTATTCTATCAAAACAAGCCAGTCTCCTGTTGATATAACTGATGATGTATTTTCTCTTAAAAGTTTACCACCTAAACATCAGTTAATGAAATGGTCCACTGAACTATCTATGCGTAATAATATTGCGAGTGGAATCCATTATATAGAATGCAATCTAGGAAAGTTCATGTATGAAAGTGTTCAGCTTCTAATAGCTCTTCATAGGGTTCAAGAAATGAAGCTAGCAGTTGATCAAGAGTTAACATGGTTTAATTCTCCCAAGTTAGTACCAAAATCAATCAGTATTTTTCTTTCTCAAAATTTAATTGAAAAATTCAAAGAAGTGCTTTTTAAAAGGCCAGCTAACAATGAAATATCAGAATATGGGATGAGCCCTAATACTTTAGCTGAGTTATGTTGTGCTAGATGGCTTTCATCAGATCATATGCTGCAAATTTCCAGCATTTTAAACTTGATCCAAAGCCATTCAAAGGTAATTTATTTTAACTTTTTAGGAAATATTGAGCATTATGTATCAAGAATAACTGTTGTCCCTGAAAAGCTGATCTTTATTACAAATGTTGGAGGAAACAACGAGAAAACATTTTCTGGTACAGATTTAAATGCAGGTTGCCACTGGACACTTGCAGTTTATGATAGTATTGAAGGTAATTTTTACTAAGGAGATTCTTTAGGATGGTCAACTCCAGATGATTTTTTAACTAAAGTTAAATTATTAATCAGAAAATTGCATAAACGAAAGCTTTAATATCACTTATTGTCATGATCCAAAGACACATATGATTGGAGTTAAAAAATGCAGTTCTTTTTGCAAAGAAAATTATCCCATGCAGACATGTGGAAATATTTGTGGAGTTATTACCATAATAGTATGTGCAATCTCTTGCCTAAAATATGATTACTTTAAATGTATGATAAATAATGGTCAAATAGTGACCAATAATTACATTTTTTTAAAAGACCCTACTAAATATTCTAAATATTTAAGATTAGTTTTAATGTCATGGTTTATCTCAAAAGAAATAAATCTTGATTTTGTTGTTCCTACCACTATTGTGCGTGAAATTTCCACAAGTATTGAGGTAAGTGATACTAATTCTGATGAAGCCATATATACCATATATGCCATATATACAAATGTTTTCGAATCCAACTTAATTAAAAAAAATATGGCCAGTGTAAAAAATATCGATTTATCTTTAAAATGCGCAATTTGCAATATCTCTTTCACCCAAAAAAAAAACATGCTGCGGCATATGAAAAATAAACACAAATCAATTGATGAAGCACAAGAAAATATTCAATCAGGAAATTCTTTTTGTCTTCAATGTGGATTTAAATGTAGGCGAGTTAAGGATTTAAGAAAACATTTATCTACAGTTCATTTTTATGCTTTTCAGAAAGAAGAAATATCATTTGCTAATTATCGAGGTAATGCTTTAATGTTTTTAAAAGTAGAAATAGTTTAGAGTAAATATGCCATTTATTTTGCATCCAACTTTTTGTGTTCTTGCTTTGTTATTTTTTTAATTTGTAACTGATTATGTGTCGTGAAAATGATTTTGAATTTGTAGTAGTTCCAAACACAATCACTTACATAAATAAAAAAATATATTTAGTCCAGTTGCTGTTGATGTTATGAATTTTTTTTTTTATATAAGGTGTTAGACAATTGCTTTCAAATTCATTGTCTCTCTTTTTGTCTTGTAGTAGTTATTTGATTCTTGTAAATAATTTTTTTAAAATTTGAAATGTGGAAATCAGATGTTGAAAGTAATAATGCAACACAATATGTTTTACCTTCTGGTGAAAAGATTGATAAAGATAGTAGGAAAGTATCATACTATCAATGCAATAGAAGTGGACTTTATAAATGCATGGCGAAGAAAAGACTAGTTAAAAGTAGTGGTATGTATTAAGTAAATAGCGATATTTAGAAGAAGAAAAAATGTTTGTATTTGCCACAAATTTTAATTTAGTGACCACTTTTTAATGATATTTTTGTTAAATACAGGGTTCATTTAAAATAATATTATAACACCTAATGTAAATATCTAAAAACTATTAAACATGTTTAGTTTTTGTGTGCTATAGGTCACTTTGTTTTAAAAATCTTTTAAAATTTTACAGATGGTGATTAATTATCTTTGCTATGTTCAGATTTTATGTATTATATATATGATATACAAATACTATTTTAATCTATATGATCACAAATATCTATTTAATAGGTACTCGAAAAATTGCTAAAAATTGCACGTCCACACTTAAAGTTACCCAAACTGTAGATGGACATGTTATTGTTAATGCTTGTTATTCACACTATGGACATAAAAATGAAATTCAACATATTTCTCTATCAAGCGTTCAAAGGCAAGAAATTGCTTGCAAACATAAAAATGGGTGTAACCAAATATAGAATTCTAAATGATATTAGAGATGAAACAAGTTGTGTTCAATCCAGGTTACATTTAACCCAGCGTCAAGATATCAAAAACCTAGAAAAAGCATTCAACATTAATTCTATACAACTTCATGCCAGTGATCGAGACAGTGTTGCAATTTGGGCTAAAAGAATGGCAAATGAAGACAAATAGTCCTGTTTTATATTATAAACTACAAGGTGTGTTAGATACATGTAATACATTTAAAGAATCAGACTTTATAATTATAATGCAAACAGAGCACCAAAAAAAAAATGCTGCAACAGTTTGGAAAAAAATGGTGTTTGTATTGATTCTACGCATGGCACAAATGCATATGATTTTCTTCTCACTTAAATGGTAGTTGTAGTTGAATTAGGTGAGGGGCAACCTGTTGGATGGTGTATAGCAAACAGTGATTCATTTAGATTTTTATAAATTTTTTTTATAAAATTACAAGAACATTCTGGAAGTTTTTGTCCAAAATGGATAATGAGTGATTTGGCATCCCAATACTATGAAGCATTTTGATGATGTTTACTTATGCGCGCCTCTGAAATTCTGGTGTACCTGGCATGTTGATAAAGCATGGAGAGAAGAATTGCATAAAAAAGTACACAATCTTGAAATGGAAGCAGATATATACAAACAAATAAGATTTGTTTTACAGCTTAGTGATAAAAAACTATTTGATGACTATTTAAACTCATTGATGGGTTACTTGCAATCATCAGTTTTGACACAAATGTTCGCTGAATACTTTGAAAAATATTGGGTTAATAATAAACATATATGGGCATTCTGTTATCGTATGGGTCATGGCATAAATACTAATATGTATATGGAATCTTTCCACAAAGTTTTTAAGTACAGTTACCTGCAAGGTAAGCACAATAAAAGAATTGATAATTGCTTGTTCGCTTTGTTAAAGTTTAACAGAGACAAAGTGTATGAAAGAATAATAAAGTTAACAAAAGGAAAGATTAGCTATAAATTAAAAATGGTGCATTCTAGACACATTGCAAGCCTACAGCTATGTGAAAGTTTTACTAAGGACAATAAAGGAGCCTGGCTAATACCATCTGAAACAAATACTTGCCATTACAGAGTTGTAATACACCAAAAATTGTGTGACATCACTGAATGTTTCACTAAATGTCCAGAATGTAAAGTTTGTACTCATTTATATAGTTGTGACTGTATGGATTTCTTAACTAAAAATATCCCTTGTAAGCATATCCATTTAGTGCATCGTCATAGTAATCCTAGTATACTTACAACAACTATACCTCTCGATTTCCCAACATCTTCAATTGAATTGGACTGCAAAATAATAAAAGGTTGTGAACCTGCAGATATTAACATTTTAAAAGATAGCATTATTAGAAGTTTAAAGAATCTAGCTAATTTAGTATCCCTTAGTTCAATATCAGATGAGGATAGTTTGCAGACATTACAGAAAAATATATCATTAGCTAAAAATACTTTCTTAAGCCTAACAGCAAATAAGCAAAATGAATTACATATCAAAAGTTAGGTTCCATCATACAAAACAATAACTAAGCAGCCAACATTTAATTCAACAAAAAGAAAAAGAAAAACATCAAACTTTAGGCTAGCATAACTTTCAGCTACCGAAATAAATAACTTATTAGATATCTCCAACTGGACCATGAAAACAAAAGGTTTTTATATATTTTTTTTTTGGTTTCCAAATATCTGTTTCATTACATATATTTACATTTTTATAACAATTATAAATGGTGCGTGTGTATATATATCTAATATACACACAGTCTGAGAGCGGAGCTGCTACTCTAAAAAACATATTGCAAGTTTTTGGGCAAGCTATCGGTTTTTTTACAAAATACATTAAATACAAAACTTAATATTACTTAATATATATAAAGTCATATTCTTGTTATGCGATATGTTTATAATATATAAATATATATATATATATATACATACATACATACATATATATATATATATATATATATATATATATATATATATATATATATATATATATATATATATATATATATATATATATATATATATATATATATATATATATATATATATATATATATACATATATATATATATATATATATATATATATATATATATATATATGTTTTTTTTTTTTTTTTTTTTTCTTAAAGAAACTCACTTACAGTCACCAAGTAAATTGACCAAAGCAAAACTTGGTACAACATCCAATAGTAATATAAAAACAAACATATTGTCGATAGGTATTTCTAATTTAAATCTTAGTTCTTTATAAACCATTATGTACAAACCGTCTAAAGTATTTAAAAACCTTTTTCATATCACTAATTGTTTTGACTTTTTTCTAAGTATACATTTACATTTTTAATTACATATCATTGTATATAATTTTTGTGATTTACTTATGGAATTTTGCATTTGTAAGTTGCCATATTTTTAGAACAAAGAAAAGTTTTAGAATTATTTGCTTACAAAAAACCAACTATCAGTAACACATTAACTATAAAAGATTTACGTCTGGATGACAATTTTCCTCATCCAGAAATACTAAAACATGATATTTCAATTGTCAAAGAATTAATAAACCCAGATGTGTTTGAAATGGTTCAGACAAAATGTAATTTTTTTAAGGGGGCACTTTTTTTTTTTTTTTTTTTTTTATCTATCAAATTTTTCTTATTTGTCTCAGATTCTACTGGGATTTTTACTGGCAGCTCTAGATTTAAATAGGTTTCTAATTCAAGCTTGGAGAAACCTATTTGAAAAGCTTACGTAAATAAATTTTTTTCCAGTTTTACTTGTGTGTATAAATTATGCATTATATCAACATGTTTTTATAGTGCTTCACCTAGAACAAAGTTGGAGTTGTTCTATATGCAGTACACCTCAGTATAAGGATATGATTGAGTGTGAAGTTTGTGAGACGTGGTACCATTGGTAAGTAACTACATTTTTTTTATGAAGTTGAATAAGCATAAAATAAATTGACCTACAACTTGGTTTTACTTTTTACAAATGTCATAACCTGGTAATATTTTTAGGATTTGTGTGTCTTTATCTGAAACAGTAAGTGATGTGCATTGGATATGCCATAAATGTGATTCAAAAAAAGTTGTGCGTGTGGAATAAATATAAAAAATATTGATTGAGTTAAGTTCACTTGTTTATTTATTGTGCTGCTTTTTTTAGTTCTTTCAGCTTCTTTATAGTACTTAAATTTCGAGTTTATGTGTGCATCATTAAGTTATGTTACAAATAAACTGTTTTATTAAAATCTTCTAATTATAATCCAAATCTTAATATAATTTATTTTTCTTATTCTACTGACCAACAGCTTGCAGTTTGATAAATTAAGTAATAAATGTTTTGAAAATCACAACTTCAAATAACTAAAAATGTTTTCAAAGTCATGTTGAGTCCAATTTCCCATAAAAAATTATCTATAACTAGAACATTCTCTAAATTAAATTATTTATTTGTCTGTTTAACTTTTAAATTACCTCAATGCAAATGTTTTTAACAATGCTTCATTTATTCTGAATGCAAATGTTATTGTTTAAAGGTGATGATTTTTAAAGAAGACGAGGTTAACATTGCATGCAATTGTTACAGTTTCTTTGCATATGTTTTAAATTTATACTTCATTTTTAGTTTATGCCAAAAATTTGATAGCAGCATAGACATTTATACCTTTCTGATATTAGCATATGCATTGGCATTTAATATTATGCTATTTGTGACACTGGTATAAATTGCCCTAATTGTGCTGTTTGTGTCATGGTGTTAAATTTTTTTTGACACAACACGCTTATACCTTTATGGCATTGGTAATTTAGTATTATATAGCCTTTTGTGTAATCGGTATAAGTCGTTAGGGTTATCTCATATTTATATTCCTTATATAAGATATAGTTAAACACTAGAGCAAATAAATGCTCATATGTGTTAAAGGGATCCCAAACTCCCAACACATGTTGTGTTCATATTAAAGATAATGTTAAAAAAAAAGGTTTGAACCAAATTTTTTTGAATAAAAATAAATAATGAATGCATACCGTGAAAAACAAATGTTGTTGTTTTTGCCGAAGCTCGTCTTCTCCATTTTTTTGAACTAATCGGAGTCTTCAAATTATGCGTCGCAATCTACAGACTTTGGCAATTCCTTTGAAGCGCGTTTAATTCATAAAAGTTTTAGTATTTGACGTCACGGTAGACTTTTAATAAATTAAACTCTAGAAATATTTTTATTTATTTTTAGTCGAAGTTTTTTTGATTATTTGTTTAGTTTTTTTTTTTCTACTTTTAATATTTAAAAAGATATTAAAAACCTTTTATGCTGGTTCGTTGCTATAAATTGTTATTGCGCCATATATTTAATGTTTATAAATTATGAATATTTATTATCTCAAAAATTTTTTTACATTAATTACCCGTATAAAATTAGTAACAGCTTTTTTATTTGGTTAGACGATATTTCGTTTCAATTTGCTTTGCATGAAGTTCGGAAAGTCAAACGAAAAAAATTAGTTTGAATAATCGCGTAAATCAATATATATTTAAAACAAATTATTTTAATGACGGGGGTTCTAAAGTTTTTTATAACAAATGTAGGTAAAAAAATAAATAACTAAATAAAAAGTTCAGTATTAAACACCATTTCTTTAATCTATTGCAACTGTAAATATTGAATTATTAACTTGAACTAAATTTACTTATTATTTAGAACGACTAAGCAATAATAATAAAATGCCCTAAAATTATGCGAGATTGTGTTGTTTATTTGATAATTGTTGTTGGCAATGTTGTTTATGTTGATTATTTTCATAAAAATCAAAATAGTTCCAGATTAACCTGTTCGTTGCTTTGCTCATTGTTGATTTATTTCTAATTTAATTTTATCTCAAACTATAATTATATGTTAAAAAAGAAAAGTTTTTATTTCATCAGGCGCTCTTTTTATAAAAGAGTAGAACAAAAGAGAAAGAAATGTTTCACGCAATTAAACTTTGAATGAGTAAGAGTTGTAAAGAATATATATTTTTTTTGCTTCACTCATTCTTTTTTTAGATGAGAGAAATAAAAGTTTAATAGTAAATTTTCTTTGAATAAGTGAGAATTGGAAGAGAAAATTGCTTGAAAATTTGTATTTGTTAATTGTGTTTTTAAAATTTTTTAATTTTTTATGTTAAGAGACAAATGCCAATTACGACACAAATTTGGAAATACCTAATATAATATGTTTTTTAATTCGCGTTATGACATTTTAACAATTTAAATTACCATCTATCTTGAATTATTGCCTTTAATTAATGTGTTAATTATTGCGTTATTTAATAATAATTTGTCCGTATTTTTGTTAAATATTAGTTGTATAAAACGGGCGAAAATATACAAACTTTATGTTTTTTATTTGATGGTTATAAAATATTGAACAGTAAACTTATAATCAAAATTTCTAATGCCGACTTGTGTTGCAATTAATTGTACTTTTAATGCAAAATCAGGATCTCACAAATCCTTTCACGAATTTTCATATCTGATACTACTGTCAACTGTATTGTTTAGTGTATTCTTGCACTTTTTTTTTATAATCTTAACAGGTTCTAATTGGTATAGAGTTGCTGACACTTAAAAAATTTCATTATCAAAAATCAAATGTAAAATAAAATGGTATTTCCTTTTTATCCGTATCCAATTCAGCAAATTTAGCAATTTAAAATAAATCAGCATGATCAAAAAAAATTTATAATAAAAAAAGTTAACAATTCATTAAATATCTCTAATTAATACTGTCAGTTTATGAAAGTAATTGTTAATAAATACTTTTTTTCGACGGGAAAACAAAAAATTGTCATAGCGTAAAAATAACCAGAGAAGTTAGAAAATAGTTCCCTTTGTTTAAATAAAAATAATTAAGAATCAGAATATATAATACTGCGCTCTCTTGCGCAAAAACAAGAGACCGTATATAAAACGTTCTATATAAAGTAAAATACTCGTATGAAAATCATGAGATTGGTAAGTAAAGCTTTAATATTTGTTTTAAATAAAATAATTAAAGAAATATAAGTAAGATATATAAATCTAAAAATTATTAAGATCTGTAAAAATCTGTATCTGTAAAAAGTATCTGTAAAAAATAAGTTGCTCCTACAAAATAAAAATAATTTATTGTTTTTACTTTTTACAAAATTTTTTTTGCGATGTTTGGAAAAATAATACAAATAAATTTGTTTTGCTGTATGTTAAAAAAATACTACAGTAGAAAAACGCAGCTTAGTTTAATTACACTTTTCTTTTGTTAAAAGTCTACCGTGACGTCAAATACTAAAACTTTTATGAATTAAACGCGCTTCAAAGGAATTGCCAAAGTCTGTAGATTGCGACACATAATTTAAAGACTCCGATTAGTTCAAAAAAATGGAGAAGACGAGCTTCGGCAAAAACAACAACATTTGTTTTTCACGGTATGCATTCATTATTTATTTTTAATCAAAAAAATTTGGTTCAAACCTTTTTTTTTAACATTATCTTTAATATGAACACAACATGTGTCGGGAGTTTGGGATCCCTTTAAAAAATGAAAGAATGTTGCAACTAAAGACAATTGCAATCCAGGTAAATAATAATATTTGCATTGTCCCAGATAAAAAAAATCTGTTTTAGGATAGGATTTTAAATACTATTGTGCATTGTGAATAATCTAATAAGTTAATAGTTCCTATGACTCCCGGACCCACGTTTATAAAATATAAGTAATATTCATTATGTACAATAGTATTTAAAAAAAGATTTTTTTATAAACCTGGTAGTAGGGTGACTGTTAAAAAATTTTTGAAAAAAGCTACTTTTATCATTTGTCTGATATAATACTAAAACACTACGTTTGAAATTTTTTTTGAATATAAAATGATTATAGGGGTAGCTCCAGACCATAATTATAATTTATATTATAATAATTTGACGGGGTCCTTAATATTTTGAAAATAAAAGTGCTTTTAAAGTATGTCAACCTGGTACTCAAAAGAAGTGAAATTGTTTAAAAATTTTAAAAATAATAATCAATTTACGTAGAAATTATTTTTAAATCTTGAAAATTATGACTTTATTTTCAGTTTAAAAACAATAGTTTTTATGCATTAATTTCTAAAAAAGTTATCTTTATGAAAAGCAATGTTCATTTTTGAATTTTTTATATAATTTTGCTTATTTTGAGTACCAGGTTGACATACTTTAGAAGAAATTTTTTAAAATTTATTTGGGACCCGTCAAATTTTTGGGTCTTGAGCTACCCCTAAAAATAGTTATTGCTCAAAAAAATTTTAAACCTAGTCTTTTAGTATTATATACAACAAATTAAAGGGGTAAGATCAGGTTTTTTTAAAAAGTGTTGTTTTAAGAGTCACCCTACTGGGTAGGGAGTCATAGGAGTCATAGATAGCTTCCATAATTGAGTTAGGAGTCATTAAAATTCACAGTGTTTTAGCATTTATAATGTTTTTGCTAAACAAGTTTAGCAGATTTTTTTAGAGTGAAGCACTTGCATCAATTTTGCAGCAGTAAAAGATTTTATACAGCCATGTGTATTCTAAATATTTTCGAGAAACCTAAGTGTTACTTAAAAGATTTATTTTACATTTACATTTGAAAAAGTATTATTACAACTTTATTTGATAATATTTTGCTTCAAATATGATTTTAGAGAAGAAATAATTGAAAGTGAATAGAATTAACCAAGCATATATATATATATATATATATATATATATATATATATATATATATATATATATATATATATATATATATATATATATATATATATATATGATAAATCATTTAAGTAGATATTACAACAAAAATTCTTGTTTAAACAAGAAAATGGTTGAAGACAAGTTAGTTTAACAGAAGTTAGTTCAACAAAGAATTAAATTACAGAAAAAAATAGTGTTTTATAAAAGTAGTATGTTGTAGACCTAGATTTGTTGTGTTTTGGTCTTTTGGTTGTAACATTTTTCAACATTTTCGGGCAGCAACGTAATCAACAGTTTGTATTTAAACCTTTAATCAAAGTTAAATTGAGATTTATGCAGTTTCGTTATTAACATTCCAAAATGTATATGTTAACAGCAGTAATAGTTTTAAATATAATACTTAGATGTTTAACTTGTCAACGTTTAATTGTATTTTTTCATTATATGCAACAACCGTCTGGTTAAAGACCATTAATGTCATTGAGCCATCATTTGAGATCGATAAAACAATTTGATTTTTAAACTCTTTATTTTTGATTTTTACAATAGTGAATATGTTTGTAATTATAGTATAGTTTATATGTTTATATATAGTATAGTATTATATATAGTTACAATATAATAGTATTAGTGAATAATATATTTGTTATTAATATAATCACATTAGTGATTAATATATTTGTTATTAATATAATCACATTAGTGATTAATATATTTGTTATTAATATAATCACATTAGTGAATAATATATTTGTTATTAATATAATCACATTAGTGATTAATATATTTGTTATTAATATAATCACATTAGTGATTAATATATTTGTTATTAATATAATCACATTAGTGAATAATATATTTGTTATTAATATAATCACATTAGTGAATAATATATTTGTTATTAATATAATCACATTAGTGATTAATATATTTGTTATTAATATAATCACATTAGTGATTAATATATTTGTTATTAATATAATCACATTAGTGAATAATATATTTGTTATTAATATAATCACATTAGTGATTAATATATTTGTTATTAATATAATCACATTAGTGATTAATATATTTGTTATTAATATAATCACATTAGTGAATAATATATTTGTTATTAATATAATCACATTAGTGATTAATATATTTGTTATTAATATAATCACATTAGTGATTAATATATTTGTTATTAATATAATCACATTAGTGAATAATATATTTGTTATTAATATAATCACATTAGTGATTAATATATTTGTTATTAATATAATCACATTAGTGATTAATATATTTGTTATTAATATAATCACATTAGTGATTAATATATTTGTTATTAATATAATCACATTAGTGAATAATATATTTGTTATTAATATAATCACATTAGTGATTAATATATTTGTTATTAATATAATCACATTAGTGATTAATATAATTGTTATTAATATAATCACATTAGTGAATAATATATTTGTTATTAATATAATCACATTAGTGATTAATATATTTGTTATTAATATAATCACATTAGTGATTAATATATTTGTTATTAATATAATCACATTAGTGAATAATATATTTGTTATTAATATAATCACATTAGTGATTAATATATTTGTTATTAATATAATCACATTAGTGATTAATATATTTGTTATTATTATAATCACATTAGTGATTAATATATTTGTTATTAATATAATCACATTAGTGAATAATATATTTGTTATTAATATAATCACATTAGTGATTAATATATTTGTTATTAATATAATCACATTAGTGATTAATATATTTGTTATTAATATAATCACATTAGTGAATAATATATTTGTTATTAATATAATCACATTAGTGATTAATATATTTGTTATTAATATAATCACATTAGTGATTAATATATTTGTTATTAATATAATCACATTAGTGAATAATATATTTGTTATTAATATAATCACATTAGTGATTAATATATTTGTTATTAATATAATCACATTAGTGATTAATATATTTGTTATTAATATAATCACATTAGTGAATAATATATTTGTTATTAATATAATCACATTAGTGAATAATATATTTGTTATTAATATAATCACATTAGTGATTAATATATTTGTTATTAATATAATCACATTAGTGATTAATATATTTGTTATTAATATAATCACATTAGTGAATAATATATTTGTTATTAATATAATCACATTAGTGATTAATATATTTGTTATTAATATAATCACATTAGTGATTAATATATTTGTTATTAATATAATCACATTAGTGAATAATATATTTGTTATTAATATAATCACATTAGTGATTAATATATTTGTTATTAATATAATCACATTAGTGAATAATATATTTGTTATTAATATAATCACATTAGTGATTAATATATTTGTTATTAATATAATCACATTAGTGATTAATATATTTGTTATTAATATAATCACATTAGTGATTAATATATTTGTTATTAATATAATCACATTAGTGAATAATATATTTGTTATTAATATAATCACATTAGTGATTAATATATTTGTTATTAATATAATCACATTAGTGATTAATATATTTGTTATTAATATAATCACATTAGTGAATAATATATTTGTTATTAATATAATCACATTAGTGATTAATATATTTGTTATTAATATAATCACATTAGTGAATAGTATATTTGTTATTAATATAATCACATTAGTGATTAATATATTTGTTATTAATATTATCACATTAGTGATTAATATATTTGTTATTAATATAATCACATTAGTGATTAATATATTTGTTATTAATATAATCACATTAGTGAATAATATATTTGTTATTAATATAATCACATTAGTGATTAATATATTTGTTATTAATATAATCACATTAGTGATTAATATATTTGTTATTAATATAATCACATTAGTGAATAATATATTTGTTATTAATATAATCACATTAGTGATTAATATATTTGTTGTTAATATAATCACATTAGTGATTAATATATTTGTTATTAATATAATCACATTAGTGATTAATATATTTGTTATTAATATAATCACATTAGTGATTAATATATTTGTTATAGTAAGAATAGTATGTATAAACAAAATCAAATTTTTTTGCCCATTTCTAACAGTTTGAGGTTTGTAGTATATTGCTGATCTCATTTTCCCTAATTCCAAGGATTATAGTATATTAGTATAGTGATAATAGTGATCTGCCAAGAAAGCGAGCTGGTGTGTTTACATGCCTTCTGTATCACATCATCACGCTGATGAGCCCCAAAGGGCAATACACTCCTCAGCAAGAACCAAGATTTTTACCTCTTGCTCTTGCCCGCACTCCTCTTAAGTGGTTCATAGGAGCAAATTACGGTTTACTCTCTTGTACTCATTTACGCCTGCTGAATTCTATATATATTTTTGTATGTATATATATATATATATATATATATATATATATATATATATATATATATATATATATATATATATATATATATATATATATATATATATATATATATATATATATATATATATATATATATATAGGTATGTGGATTGAAAATTTTAAATTGATCAAAGGTTAGATTGTTATATATCATTAGAAAGTGCTTCAATACAGTATTTCAAAGGTGAAAAAATTATTAAAATTGGACTATTGTACAAAAAGTTAAGACGTTTTTAGTCGCAAATTTTTGATATATGGATTTGTTGAAGAAACTGTGGTCAAAATTTAATTTTTCTTTACTTAAATTGTTATAACTTTGTCAATTCTTGTCTAAATACCTATAACTTAGTATCAAAAGATAGGTGTAACTGTGGGCTACAAATTTATAACATCGTCCACCAATAAAGCGTTTCCTGGGGGCTAGAGGGGGTGCCGAACCACTACCTTTACCCTAAAAATAAGCATATTTCTTTCAATAAAAAGGGTTTTTTTTCAACTAACGGTTATTTTTTTTATACAAAAAATTGCTATAATTTTATTCCAGACCATCAATGATTGATGTTTATTAAAGTTGGTGGTGGATATGGTGGTGATGGTTTAACACACCCTAATTTCAAAAATATTAAATTCTCTAATTATAAATAAATAAATATTTCTATATTTAATAAAATAAGTGAAACTAGTATACAGTATAAAAAACATAAAAATTTTTTTTGCTACAAGAAATTCATTTATTGGTGGTGTGCTTATTGACTTGTGGGAGGGGCGTGTGCCCCCCCTCCCAACCTAAAAAATAAATAAGTAAAATAAATAAATCTTTATAATAACAATTATAATTATTTTAAAATAAGTTAACAATTTAAAACCTGAATTAGGCTTTTTGCACTAAGTATAACCTACAAGCTAAAGATAAAGACCACAACTGAGCCTACTTTTGAAAGAAAAGTCTTTCCGCTGCTGTTCGTAAATTTTGGTTAAGTTGAGAAGTTTGTTAAATAGGGTGGTAATGGTTACCCACAACCTACAATAAAAAGATGTTGAATTCTTAAAAATAATTGTATCTTTAACAAACAAAATAAATTAGTATATTTCATTTTTTGATATTTCATTAAATATATTTTATTTCATTACCAAATATATCAGTGTTGTATCCTATAAAAAAATGTAACAATCAATTTTATATTGTTCTGTATTAAAACATTTTAGATATCCTAAGTTTAAATAGTTGTCTTAGCTTTTAGTAAATAATTAAAATAGTCAATTTCATAAATGGAACACTATAATAATCATTTGTAACAATAGACACCACGTGAAGATAAGCCAGAGCTGCCTATCAAAATATTTTGCAAGTCACAACACTTGTGCAAAGGTCATTCCAAGTCAAATACTTTTATTCTTCTCTAAAAACATTTATAAAATAAAGTAAAACAAAAACATATGGTTTAATACCAGGCATACCTGACTTGATATGACTACTTCTTCAAGTTATATTACTTACAATACCTTTATACAAGTTTCATCATATGCCGTATCTGTTTTGTAAGTTTTATCACTTGCAGTATCTATTTTTAAAGCTTCATTTCAAGTAATATCATAAGCTGTTACATATTACACTTCAAAAAAAAATCAACTCTTCTAGTCCAACATCAGCGGAAGCTGATATTTTTTCATGTTGTAGTCAACAGCTTCAGTATCAGTATTACCTTTATTCCAGTAAGAAATTGTGCAAACTTTGCCTTGTTTTGTTTTATCAAGTTTTTCTTCTCTACCATCATACATGACATACTTCGAATACTTACTATTGTACCATTCATGGCAAAGTTTTTGCCCAACAATTCTATCTGACATTACATTATCTTAGTCATGACGTTGTTTGATAGACAATGTATTTAAACACTTTATTTCATTGTAAAAGAGTTCAAGCAACTGTTATTTTAACTTTCTTTTGTCTTTTTCATCCATTTTTTGGCATTTGCATACATGTTTTTTTGAAATATCTGCTCATATATCATTATGCTTCATTTGATTTATCATCTCTTTTTATGGATTTCTGAATAGATCACATAACTATATTTTTATGGGTTTCTGAATAGACCACATAACTATATTTTTATGGGTTTCTGAATAGACCACATAACTATATTTTTATGGGTTTCTGAATCGACCACATAACTATATTACCTCTAGATAATTGATCTAAACTTTCTAGGTAATTTAATTTGTATGAAACATAACAAACTGTTGCATTAGGTGATCTTTCTTCAGCCTCACTAAACATTCCCATTAACTCTTCACTATTTATATCGTGCTGCCTTGCACATGCTACTTCCTCCTTGAGAGTCTGGTTAATAGAAAGCGAGAAATATCTCTTACATTGACGAGTTATGAAGTCTCCTACTGCAATAAGACAAGCAAAAGTCATATTAATAAAGTGTTCATCAATCAAACAAAACATTTTTTATTGGATCTAAAATATTTGGTTCAAGGTCATTTTAAAAAGTGAACCTGGATTTGATTTAGAATCTGCAATTTTTAGTAAAAATTTTTTAATACCAGGATTCCACTATAATGGTCAAAATTTGCCTCCTCAACAGTCACACAAAATTTTGTCATCCAGGCTGATGATAGAAAGATGGGCAAGATTTGTGCAATGCATATACAGGGTTCATTACAAAATTCCTTAAAACGACAACTATCCCTTGTAAAGTTGCAAAACCAACTTTTGCATCTTTATCAAAAACCCTAAAGAAAAGTGGTTTACAAATGTTTAAACTAAATAATAGTTTTAACAAATGACTCGACACTGTTAATGAATAAAAAAGATC